CAGATGAGGAAATAGAGGTACAGAGAGAGTGAGTCTCTGGCCCAAAGTCACCAGCTTGCTCTCAACCTCCCCATTCTATAGATGAGGAGTGAGACCCAATGACATGAAGGACGCTGCTCTTAAATGGCAGAACTTGGACTTGAATAAATGTGACCCTAGAAACCAAGCAATGAGCTACTGACTTCACTCCTGCTTCATGACACTGCAGTGCCTATGACTTCCACAGAGCCCAAGACTCAGGAGCTAGTGTATGTGGCATCTAATCTTCACAAAACCCCTGTGAAGTAGGTGTATATTAGTAAGTTTTCTGTTGCTAATAACAGAATACCTGAAACTGGGTAGTTTATTTATTTATTTTTTTTAATTTATTACAGTTTTGGAGGCTGGGAAGTTCAAGATCCAGGGGGCACATCTGATGAGGGCCTTCGTCTTGGTGGGAACTCTCTACGGAGTCCCATGGCAATGCAGGGTATCACATAGCGAGGGCTGAACAAGACCACACTAACAGCTTTCTTCCTCTCCTTACAAATCCCCTCGTGCCACTACTGTGATAACCATTCACCCATGAACCCATTAATCCATGAATGGCTCAATCCATTCATGAGCACATTGCCATCATGGTATAATCATCTCCTAAAGGCCCTACCTTTCAAATATTATTTTGGGGATTAAGCCTACAACATGAGCTTTGGAGGGGCCAACATTCATACCATAGCAAGGCAAGACAAGAGATCTCAGGGAGTTTATAAATGAAGAAACTGAGGCACAGATGCAGAGAAATGTACATTGAGGGTACGCTCTGAATGCCCCGCCCACCAGGTAAGACCGTCAGAAATTCCAAAGAGAGGAAAAGGCAGCAAAGCACACATCAAGAGCTCTTTAAGTAGACCTTAAAAACTGCTGTTTTGCCATGTATTAAACACATTTTGATTCTCTGTATATTTACTGGAGTTTTATGATTAGATGATAAATACAGGTTCCAATTGATCACATTCACAGACTACATTTCGTCTGTGTCAGGTCAGAAAGACAGTGATCACCTTTGTGAATAATTTCATTGAGTAAAGCTGCCCTCAGGCTTAGCTAAAGATAAATGCCTAAAACAGCCACTTCCAGGAGTTGGTTTACAACTGATTTCTGTTCTCTGGCACAGAAAATGCAAATAGTCAGACCCATCTCTTACACGGCAAGTCACTTGGCTTATTACATTTCATGTTCACCAGATCCACTTTATAAAGGAGTGAACTGACACTCAGGGAAGTTAAGTGACTTAGTTAAGTTCACACAGCAAGGAAGCAGCAAATCTGGGACATGAATCCAGGTCTGCTGCTAGCTAAGCCAGTGTTCTGTCTAAGGGCACTATCAGGCCCAGGATATTTCAGCCATGTGGGGCTGTAGGACCTTGTGTAGATAAAGGCATAACAGACAGACATGCCAAGGGCTAGGAGGGAGCAAAATAAGCTGGAAATTCTCAGAACTTTGGTCCTCAAAGGGCCCTTAAAAATCATCCAACACACCCATTATACAGATGGTCAAACTGAGGACCATCCAAAGAAAGACTTGCCAAAAGTTACACAGTTAGAAGCGGCAGATCAGATCCAGAACCTAAGTCCATACCAATCTCATCATTCTACTGACTTTGGAGAACAATTTGCAGAAACTGCTATGCAGATGGCAAAGCAATCAATCCACAGGATTTTTTCTTCCTTAGCAGGTCCAGGTCATGCACGTAAGGTGCAGTATTTGTCCTTGAGGAGTTTACAGTCTAGCTAGTAAAACAGGCATGTGCACAGAAAAATAAAATCAATAACATAAAATATCAGTGCAGGCAGAAGCTGTGTCAAGAATTTAAAGAAGGCAGAGAGCAGCAGGGCTGGTGATGCTGGAAGGCTTTCTGAAGGACAGGTAAGAAAAGCTGGGCTTTGAAGCATGAATAGAAGTCCTTCGGATAGAAAGGAATAGGTATGTCAGTCCAGGAAAGAGTTTCAGCTTATGAAGGGTTTGGGGAGAGATACAGCCACTACCGCAAACGAAGTCCCGGTCTCGGGGGCTGGGAAGCCAGGCCAGGGCTTTTGGACTTGGGTCTATGGAACGACAGGTCTTCAGACTTGTTCGGGAATAGAACACCTAGAAGCCTCTGAGCCTTTCACAGAATTGCACGAGTAACTGATCACACTTCATGCAGGGACAATGTTAGTGTCAGAAAACACGACTGCTGGCTCCATGTCTGCAGTATAAAACCACACGGCCAAGCGTGCATGCCTTTGAACCAAAGAAGTCCTCAAGCCAATCAGAACCAGTCTTCTCTAAACATTCCCATTAATAGTTACCTGCCCTTTCTCTCTTTCTTCTGTCTTCCATCTTCCATCTCTGTCTTTTGCGGCCTGTGTGCTAGCAGACGACAAGCACAGGGCCACTGTTTTTCATAAAATATAGGGAGAGAAAAACATAAAAATGGAGGAAATTCTGGGAATTTACTTCTTTTTTTTCAGCTTGGAATGAGGCAATGCCATAAAGAGCAACTGCTTCTCTGAGCCTCAGTTTCCCCATCTGACTGGAAGGGGTTGGGAATGGGAGCATCATCTGAGATCAAGCTTCAGACACACAATGTGCCCGGTCTGGTTATCTTCACATTTCCTGGGCTCTTGGGCAGTGAAAGGGATGGGAGACCAGCCCTTCCATCCACGTCCACAGTTCGGAGTGGCACAGAGAGTAGCCTGGAGCGTGACCAGCTCAACACCCATAAGCTTCTGCAAAGGCCAGGGTTTAGTATGGAGTCTCAACAAGGCATTTTTGTGCAGAGCCCTGGAGTGAGCAAGACACCTCTGCTGCTGAGATGACTGACCTTTTAGAGTGCACCCATGCTTCTCTCATCATGAGGCCTCTCCCACTTCTCAGTCTTGGAGCAAGATGAGTACCTGCACCCCTAGGTCACCTGGCCAGGAATGGGCAGCACCCTGTGCCCAGGATGTGGGCTTCTATGAGCTGGCAGGGGCATGGAACCCTCGGAGCGTCCATGTGTCTTGTCCCCACTACCTGGGGGAGCTGGGAGGTCACCAGGAGCCGGATGTAGTAGCCACCAAACACTGCCAGCAGCTGCCGGGCCATTTCCTAGAAGAGGCAGGGAAGCAGAGTGAGGGCCACCGGAAAGCACCTTGGAGCTCAAGCATGAGGGGAAGGCCAAGCCGTCCTCTTGTCCCTGGACCCAGGAGCGATGCTCACTGGGAAGAACCAGGCCAGGCCAGTTCAGCACCTGTGGTCATGGAGGATGCCAGCCTAGTATAGAAGCCCAGCTCTATAACTCACTGGCTACAGGGCTCCTGCAACCTCAGTTTCCTCATCCCCAAGGCAAGTAACTAACAGCTGGTTGGCAACAATAACATGTACAAAAAAGATATGCCTCCTCAAAACACTAGAGGAACCACCATTGATTTATACCTGGCCAGCCACACACACATTTTCTTTCAAATGTCTATGAGTCTATAAAGCACATGAGGTCAAGATGACTCACCTGAAGAAAATCACTAGTTGCATGGGAGGAGTGGAGGGGAGTATTCCCATTATAGAAGAATTCTTCTATTCATACAAGGTACCTGGTAAATTTCTTCACCCAAGTACTCCTAATATATTAAAAGACTTTGCTTATAAAAATTGAATTTATCAAAAAAGGACAAATACTGTATGATTCCACTTATACGAGGCTCCTGAAATAGTAAATTCGCAGAGACATAAAGTAAATGGTGGTTTCCAGGGATCAAGGAGAGGAAGTGAGTGTTTAGAGGAAGTTGGTGGAGCCTCAGTGTGGGAAGAGGAAAACATTCTGGAGATGGACGGAGGCAATGGCTGCACGATAATGTGAATGTGCTTAATGGCACTGAACTTTACACTTAAAAATTAACAGGTTAAATTTTATATCACATATATTTTACCACAATAAAAACAATTTTAAAGTTTTAAAACAAAAAGTGTTTAAGAGCATGGATTTAATACATGTTCTTATTAACAAACCTGGTCTCTAAAGTTCCATTCACTGGTCTAGCAATTGGGATTACAGGGTAAATGCTTAAATTCCTGAAGTGTGGTGTTGAAGGTCTTTCACAATACTTGTGTCCATTCTGAATGTAATAAAATAAGGTGTGGGTTACATCAAGGCTATTTATGTCTGTAGAGTTAGTAATTAAAAACCGGCTTTAGAGTCAAAAAGGCCAAGAGGGAATTTCAGCTCGGCCACTCTGTGACTGACCAAGTCACTTCACCTTGCTGAGCCCATTTCTTCATCAGTTAAAATAGGAAAAATAGGAGCAATGCTGGAGTGAACAGGACTGAAGCCATGGTGGGACCTAAAACCTCATGGGCCCTAGAATATTTATTCTAAAAAGACACAGTTTTTTCCTTGGCATGCATTTCTCTGAGTTTCCTCTTTTCCTGTGGTTATTTGATTTTTTGAACCTTGGTTATGTGGCAAGATGACATTATTTACATGAATATAAAGTTGTTTTCCAGTCAGCCTGGAGCTGCAGACCTGCATGTACTGTCCAGACCCTGGGAAACCAAGGAAGACATCAGTAAGGCTATGCTGACTCCACGCCTCCAGCAGGACCCTGAGGTAGCATCAAGCCTGAGAACAGACACCAGACGGAGCCTTGGCGAGACCTTGCACCTGGCTCCTTGCAGGGAGCCCCCTCCCTCCTGCTCTTCATTTCTCACATTCCATTCCCTCAACCCCCTCTTTAAAAAACCCTCAATAACTCTGAGTCTTTGAGATGGCTTTAGTCTGGCCAATCTCTTTCAGGTTTACCAGAGAGATGAGTTACCCTAACATCTCTTCTCAGGTCACCAGTATTCCTGGATAAAAGCTGACTTCCATTTTCACCAACATTTGACTTTTGAGTGGTTTGTTTTTGAAAGGGGACAGGCAGCCAGACCTGTGCCCGGTAACAGCATCTACCTTATTGAGCTAGAGTGAGGACAGAAGGAACTAATGTACAGAAAGCATCTAGCCCAGCACCTAGTGCTCAATAAATGTCACCAATATCATTACCATCATTATTATTCAAAAAAGCGGAAACTCCACATGGTTCCTAGGACTGGCTTTTGTTTTGATTGTCATTTTTGCTAGAAAATATTAAAAACATCAAATAGTTTGCCACTCACTAATGCAGGCTGGTCTTCTTGCCAATTTAGTAGTCTAAAATCAATAACGTAAGAAGCAAAGAACTGTAGCAAGAAACTTGGTTTATTTAGAATCAACAGGGCTGGCTTCTGCCCTTAGCTTTGCCACATTCTCCCTTGTTCCATGACCTTGGGCGAGTCATCTGACCTCTTGGAAACTTATTTCACCCATCAAGGAAGAAGGGAAAATAATCCATACCATGGAGGGTATGCTGAAGATTTTATGCATGATAAAAGTCTAAAAATGTAAGAGGTCATTATAACTACCTCCATCTTTCACAGATAGTGAGTTCCTACTGAAATGTGATGATCTGGCTCATGCTGAGACTTGGGCATTGATTGTATTTCCCTAGCTAACTCATAAGGGCAGCCACTTTAAAAACGCGCACATACATTTGATATTCACGACAAGAAGTTGTATTACTACTGGTTTGAATGAATTTGAAAAAATAATTTAAAGGCCCATATTTAATAGGCTATTGCACATAAACCCAGGTGTGCTCATCATAATAAAGTACATAATCTTTTCTGCCCTTTAAAAAAAAAAGTCAATAAAGAGATGAACACATTTATCATTTTCTCATCTAAATAGTCCTATTTGTAGGCCTCCCACTCTCCAGTGCAGAAATCTGGGCTAGTTTGGACAATGAATTCCCAAACCTCTTGGCTAAAAAGAAAATGCAAGCATTGTTCTGAAGTTCCAAATGTCATCTGAGGTCACCCCTTGCTGCTTGTCTCCCTGACAGTGGGTCTGTCCTCATGGTGAGAAGAAGGTAGCACATGCCACAAACCACATTTTCAGATTTCTGGTCTACCAATACTTAGCTATACCCAACAAATAGCTTGGATGGCAGAACACAGCAGAACTCTAGGGCTGGAGGAATGGGAATTCAACAGAGATACACATAAGATTCAAATATCCAACTGCAATTTAAGTATGTAGATGGATGAATGATGGTTGGATGGATCAATGATGATTCGATTGATAGACTGATAGATTGATAAAGACCCAAATATTCATCAATACGTTCATGGTTAGATAAGCTATGATCCATCAACATGCAACCACCCATCCAATGCAACTATCAAAAAAATATCCAAGACATTAAAAAATGCAATCCAAAAATCCCGATAAATATAAAATGATTCCTATAAACCATTTTTAAAAGTGCTGGGGTGAAGAAAAAAAGATTGAAAATTACTGGGCTAGAAGGTTTGCATGTCTCTACCAACTCAGTGAAGCCACCTCTCCAGGAATCTAGAATTTGAAGTCCCCACATGGACTCTCTTTATGCAAATGGTCCATGAGGGAGGACGACCCTGACTGGCGACAGTGCCGTTACCTCAGGCTCAGACTCAGGAATGAGCTGGCGAAGCTCAGTCTGCATGACTGGTCTCTCCTCAGGACGAGGGCTGCTGAGCAGGAGAGGGGCACCCTCCAAATCCTCAGGCTCCTCCGCCGTTGTGGGATTCACCCCAGTCTCCATGACAACACATAACTGGCTCAGTCTGCTTCTCAGCAAGGACTGCAAAGGAAACAGAGGGGGGACCCAGGTGTGTCCTAAACTGGGTGGTATCTGGGAGGCTGAGTCACTCCCTAACCTGCAGACCCAGCAGAGGACAGATCCATCTACAGACTCCAATGCTAACCTCAGAAGAATCTGGAACTGAGCCACATTGGTGAGATCACATAATTCCCTACAAGAGTACAGTCCTTAACAGTTTCTAACCTACTTTTTCTTCCATGCTCTCATTCACTCCTCAAAGCAGCCTGGATGTGGGTACCTTTATCTATATGTTGCAGATGAACAAACCAAGGCTCCAAGGACTTGCCTGAGTCCATGCAGGAAAAAATGAACCAGGATCAGGGCTGAACCACAATCCGGATTTCAAGACCAACTGCAATACTTCCAGGGCCCAGGAAAAGCCTGAGCGTAGGGAAGGAACCCTGGGCTCAGAAACAGGAGGCCTGGCCTCTAAACCTGGGCCTCACCAGTCAGCTCCAAGACCCCAGGCAGGTGACAGGTCTTCCCGGAGCCTGTTTCCTCCTCTGTAGCATTGGAGAGAGATCTCCCTGAACTTCTTAACATATGGTAGAAGGCAGTTTGAACAAGTGAAAGTGTCTAAATACATGAGACTTTCGGATGTGCCAGAATTGACTAGTAGTAGTAGTATTATATTATTATAATTACAAAGAAATATACACTCACTATAGGAAATGTGGATGAAAATTAGATGAAAGCAATTAGCTGAAAAGAAGCAGGAAAACAACCACTGATACCACATAGTTAATCTTCCTTCCAAGTAACTTTTTCTTAGACATTGTTCCAACACTGCAGTCACGCGAGCTACACAATTTGGCCTCCTGGTTTATTTCTGTTGTTGTTGTTTCTCCACTTAAGATACCTTACCTCTTGGCTAGTCTTCATTTCTTGAACATAATCCGACAAAAACTGCACACAGTTCTCCAGGTCGAAGTAGACAAACCAGAGCTGTGGAGAGAAGCACCATGACTGCTGGGACTCGCCACCCCCGCGGCTGTCCTCCACCTCCCGCCTCCTGCTGGAGGCCCACGCTTCTGAGCACCACCAGATTTATCCTGCTCTCTGGCAGGAACATGCCATTCTGCTCCCGCCCACAGTCCCACGCCATGACCACGTCTCATTTGGACAGGTGGTAAAAAAACGGCTTTGTGTGCAAACTTAGAAAATACCAAACCCTGTTCATAATGGCTGTGGCCCCATCTCCCACAGTCACTGAGCATCCCAGACAGACTCCAAACCCTCTTGAACATCACATATCTGCCTGGGGTTACCACCATCGTCCTCAGTTCTCAGGCTGCCTGTCTAGACCCAAACGTGCACATGAGTGAAACCTTTCAGAGCTGACACCCCCACGGCCAGGTCCCAGGTAATCCGCATGGGTGCTCTGCAGGGAGGGGAGTAGGGTAAGAGTCCTCACCCCACTCTTACCTCCCCTTCTGCCTCAACCTGAACAGTCCCCAGGAGGCCAGGTTAAACTTAACCAGGTTGAAATCCTCGTGTTGGTGGGGCCACACCTGCCACACATCATAACCAAAGTTCTGCAAGAAGCTGGTGGCCCTTGTCTCATGCCCACCTCCTCTGGATCCCAGAGCTCCCCTCCCAATGACTGACCCTTGAGACCCAAAGTCACATCCCTCTTGCCAACTAGTCCCTCCCACTGTCTCATTCCCATGGGAGCATTTTTCCAATGATTCTTTCAAAGCTTTTTACTATGAAAATTTCCAAACACATACAAAAGCAGATGACAGCTATCCATCATCCTGCTTCAACCGTGCCACCTCATGGCCACTCTTGTTTAGTCTCTACCCTTGCTTGTTACCCATCCCCAACACCCCCACCCCTCGCCCCACCCCCCAATGGATTTAAAGGACATCTCAGACATTGTGTCACCTCATCCCAAGATACTATTTTGAAAACGAAAAAGCCTGACTGTCTGAAAAGATGTGATCATTCATTAGTCATTCATTGTCCACGCATTCAACTAACACTTACCAAGTCACTCCGTTATGCTAATTAATAAAGTAGATTTGGAGATAAATCAGGCTAAAAAGGACCCCCAGATTCCAGGAGCTCCCAGTACACAATGTCACACTTGAACTGCCAGAAATCTTGTGATGTCACCTGATTGTTGTGCAAGATCTTCTTATACCCCACAACAACCTCAGGTGGGACAGGCTCTGCAAACAGGGATCTGCACATATTCTCTGCTGCAGCGTCAGTGCCTAGGACAGTGCCTGGCACACAGCAGGCCATCAATCAACATTTCTGGGGTGAACAGGGATGTTTACGAGCAGCTTCCTCCCAGGTCCCTCGTGCACACCCACCCCCAGGCTCCCACCAGGTGAGGGGCCGTAGCGGTGAGAACACATGTGGAGCTGAGGAGATTTTGCAATTCCACTGGGCAGGTCCAGCATGGATGGAGGAATGGGCAGAGCCCAGCAAGGACCAAGAGATCTAGCCCCAGCCATGTCCTGACCAACTGTGTGACCTTGGGCTAGTCACTTAAGACCTCCTACTGCCTCTGGGGCAAAAAAAAACAATAGAGCCAGGGCAGGCAAGGCCTGTAGGACATGGCCCACCTCTCCAGCCTCACATCCCCACTGTGTCTTGCTGCTGTAGCTCTCAGCCACTGGAAGCTCCTCAAACTCCTTCAAAAGCATCCTGTCCACCCTGCCTCTTGGCCTTGTCAGGGGTGGTTCCCTCTGCCATAGAGCCAGAGAGCCTGCTGTTGACTGACCGTGTGCCTGTCATCCTCACAAGGCTGGGAGCTCCTGCAGGACGGGGACCTCATGTGGGCCCCCTGGCTTCTTCAGTGCCCAACCAAGGGCTCAGCACAGAAGAGGCCCCATCTGTCTGCTGAATAAATGCCCAATGAGCAGCAAAGCCTGAACACTATCTGACCTTCCCCTCCAGCCTTGCCACATGGAGGTTCTAAGTCACTGGTAACTGCTTCAGAGGAAGTGTCTCAAGGAAGAAACACTGGAGCAGGGAGGAAGGAAAGGGTTGCCAACAGCCACCTCCTTAGCGGACTCCCAGAGACACTGTGCATGCTGGGAGAATGTGAGGCCCCCTCTCTGCAAGTGGCCCATCACAGAGGGGTTACTCAGAGACACATACCTGAATCACGCTCTGGCACCCCTCCACCGTGTCCGTCACCCCCAGCAGCACCCGGTGTCTCAGGAGGGCTCCATTGGCAGCCGCCAGCCGTAGGTCCGTGTTGGCGTTGGCCTGTAAGACAAATGCCAGGCCTCTGGCTAGACCTCCATGCTGCCAGGGAGCTCCCGGGCCCTGGACAATAGCCATACACTATCCCACCCCTAGACGTTACAGGACAATCCTCACCCTCAGAACTGTCCACCTCCTCCCCTATAAAATGGGGTTGTGGGTTGGGTTGTTGGGACAGTAAATTCATGCCTGACCAAGGTATGTCCCTTCCCTGAGCCTTGTTTTCTTCGGCTGTAGAATAAAGATAAAGATCGCCCTGCCTCCTAGGAGTGTGGTGAAATTTTACTAAGACTGTGTGTGAAGTGCTTCACCCAGCCTGGGACCCAGGAGGGGTGCAAAAGGTATTTGGAAGAGGCAGGAGAGCAGATGGACCTGAGCGCCTACTGTGCTCTGTCTCTAAAGCACCTACTTTAAAGTACCCAGCCCTGTGCCTGTCTTCAGAAGGGGCTCTGGAAATCAATCTCCTTCTTTTCCCACCCAAACCAAGGGGTGCCATGTATTCAGCTGGCAAAATAGATGCCAAGCAAGCCAGGGAGAAGAGGGAGGAAAGGTGACAGGACCCAAAATGCTGGTTTGGGGAAGAAACCACAAGAGGACTTTCAGAGGAAGGCAGGAGGAAGCAGCCCAATCAAGGACAAGGGTTCTCAAAAGGGGCAGAACCCCCAAGTGGAGCTTTTGGAAATGTGAGGAGGCCCTTTTGGTTGTCACAGAACAGGGATGGGATGGAAAATGCTGGCACTTAGTGGAGGAGGGCCAGGATGCTACAATGTGTCTTCCACTGAAGGACATCCCATGGGAGATGATTATGCATGTCAAGGAACTGTCCCCTAGCCTAACTGAACTCTGAATGCCCTGCTGGGTGTGAATGCAGGTGAGAAATCTACTAACAATTCTCTGATGGGCCCGCCTAAAGTCCATTTTATACAGACACCTAAAGTGTTTCTTTGAATGTATTTAAGGGGATTTTCTAGGAAGGCCACTTCCACAAAGTCCAGCACTATGCCAGGTGTTGGGGGTTGGAAGGATATGAAAATCAAGGGATGGTTATATTTCGTTTTGCCTATAACTTTAGTAAGCATTGTTGGCCCTTTCAGAAACACACATCATCAACAGTTCAAATCCTGACTCCATCTCTCACCTCCTGTATAACCTTGGGCAAATTACTTAACATCTCTCTGCCTCCATCTCCTCATCTCCGAATTGGAGAAAATGATCCCCCCTAGCTCCAAATGCTGTAGTAAGGATGAAATGAATTAATCCATGTAGAACACTTGGAAGAATGAACACTCAATGCATTTCAGCTGAGAATATCATTGTGATGGTGATACTGAATTTAAGACATGATGTTTTCCATTGTACCACGTTGACCACAAGAGAATATTTTTAGGAATTTCCCACATGCCCTATCAATGCACAGTGCTGTGTAGGGGATACAAGGCAGGGTCTTGCCCACCTTCACAAACCTTCTGATCTTGAGAAAGGCTAATAATGCAAAAAACAAGGAAAAACAAGGCAGCATATGCAAAATTTGAGGCTCTTGAGGATGCTATGCAACACAGGTAGGATTCTAACAGTAAAAGTGACAATGTGCAGGAAGCGGGTAATCTGCATGGTTCTGAATGATGAGGGATCCAAGGAGGAAGAGATCCTGGAGCTGAGACGCAGAGGAAGACCTGAGGAGGACTGTGTGACCATGGGTTAGTTACTCAATCTCTCTGAGATTCAGTTTCCCCACTGGCAGAATCAATAATAATAACAGTTAATACCTACTGAGCATTTACTTTGTAAAAGCTACTATTAAAGCATTTTGCATGTATTTAGTCATTTAATGCTCATAATTACCCTATAAGGGAGTTGTAATTATCATCTCATTTTACAGATGAGGAAACTGAGGCCCTGAGAGGTTAAGTAATAACCGCCCCCAGTATGCAGACCTAGCAAACAGCAGAGGTATCCCATCTTCTTATAAGGTTGTTGGGCATAGATATCAAGCCCCAACCACAGAGCACACAGTAGGTGTTCATTAAATGGTGGTCATTATTAGGAAAGGAATAGTCTTCTGAATGAGCACACAGTGGTGACAGCATTGCCGCTAAGAACCCAGGGCCTCAATGCTGCACCTACGAGTAGAGGCCGGCTCGTGCTCATCTCTGTGACCTGTGCCCAGCACGTTACCTGGTACTCACAGTAGCTTCATAAATACCAGGTGAATAAAAAGAGAAAAGGGAAGGAGGCAGAGAGCTAAAGCAGACATTCCCTTAAGTGCATTAGACTATCCAGGCGGCCCAATGAATTACATCTGCATCTTTGAAGTACCTGCCAGGTGCAGTTTTTGCTTGCTTTTACTAAAGAAGAACACTTTTCTTTTTCCCCTCCCCAAAAGAAATTTCTTGGTGCAGAAGCAGCCTGCTCAATTTAATTTTTATAGGCCAGCATAAAGGCTGTGAATGCTTCAACAGAGCCCAAGGGTAGCATTATTTTGTCAGCCTTGTGGCAAAGCCCAACAAAGATCCTTTCAGAATGGTTAAGCCATAAAGTTCTATTTGTCCCTGTGAACACAGGCACTAACTGGAATTCATACCCCAAACCCTGACTACATTTCCCAGCATCCTGTGCTCCCCGCTGAGTCAGGCAAGGGTGCAGTGATTGCTGAATATCTCAAAGTCCAGCACTATGCCAGGTGTTGGGGGTTGGAAGGATAGGAGCTTCCCAGTAACTGAAAAGACAGTGTAGGTGTGATTGGCAGAGTAACGGTCCCCCAAAGCTAAGTCCTAAGCCTCAGAACCTGTGAATACATTATGTGACAGCGCAAAGGGGAATTAAAGTTGTAGACTGAATTAATGTTGCTCATCAGCTGACCTTAAAGTAAGATTATCATCTTAGATTATCCGGGTGGCCCAATGTAATCACGAGGATCCTTAAAAGTGGAAGAGGGAGGCCGAAGAGTCAGAAAGGGAGATGTGAGAAAGACTCCACCCACCACTGCTGGCTTTGAAGATGGAGAAGCGACCACGAGCCAAGGTATCAGTGGCATCTAGGAGCTGGGAAAGGGAAGGAAACAGATTCTCTCCTAGAGCTTTCAGAAGGAATCAGCCCTGCCTTCACCTAGACTTTAGCCCAGTGAGACCCATGTTGCATTTCTAACCTACAGAACTGTAAGATAATAAATAAGTGTTACCATAAGCCACTAGATTTATGACAATTTGTTACAGCAGCCATAGAAACCCAATAAAGTAGGGTACTGACTAAGAACATGACTTGGCAGCTGAGTGCCCTGGCCTTGAATTCTGCCTCTGCCATTTATTAGCAGAATGGCCTTGGGCTGCTCCTTGAGCCTTCCTGAGCCTCAGGTTCCTCACCTGTAAAGTGAGTAGAATAGCCTCCACCCAGAGAGTTAATAGGGAACCTAGTGAGTTACCCTGTAAAACATTTAAAAGGCAAGCTACTATGTATGATGTGCTCATTACATAACAAAAGACAGACACTGAAGAAACAGATGCAATTAGTGAACCAAACATTAAACTGGGAGATATCAGTCTTCCTTCTGAAAGTGATTGGAAATCAGAGGGTTCAGGCTTTGAACCTCATCTCTGCCACTTACAATGGGATCCATGACAATTTACCTACATTCTCTGACCACCCCACTCTGCCTCAAAGATCACTGCTGGGATTAGAGACATGGATGTCAGCACAAAACCAGGTCAGCGTCTGCTCACCACAGGAGGAAATAATGTGAATCACCTCTCCCCAACCCTCAATCTCAGGCACCTTGTGCTGCAAGGTGGCTTCAGTAATCCTCCCTCGCTCACAGGGCTGTTGTGAGCATCCAGGGAGACAGATGCATAAAAGGGCTCAGTTAACCAAAGTAGTGGAAGAATATTAGCTATTGGTGCCCTCCTCCCAGACTCTCTCTCAAAACACAGCTTGCTTCCAGAGAAAAAAATCCACAGGGATTAGATGAAAAACAGAGGATTTAACAACCCATGTGATTTGATTTCTTTTAGTCACTGGGCATATGGGCTAGTGTGGATTTTAGTGGTTGGAGAAATTGAGCAGGCCAGAGAGAAAAGTCTGACTTGAGATTCTCATGCCTGCTCGGCCCTTCTGGAGGGAGTGTGGCAGGGATCTCCGGACATCTCACCTTCTTCTGGTGTCTCTCAAAGACGAGCACGAGAGTGAGGGTGAGGCTCACGGCAGCCAGGGTCACAAGCAGCATGCCTGCCCAGTGGTTGCCCAGGGCAAACATCTGGCTGGTGGAGTAGATATTGGCCCATACCACCATGTAGAAAACCTGCAAGAAGCCAGAGAGAGCATGTGGCCAGGAACATCAGTCTTCAAAAGAAGCAGTTCCATTCAAAAGGACATCCTCCTTGGATTCAAACAGCTCAGGAAGCCAGTAAGAGACTGAAGCAGATGGCTGGGTCTATGGGAATGAGCTCATACTCCTTGTTTAGAAGCAATGAACTCCTAATCCTTGTTTACTCTGATTATAAATTAAAAGGCAGGGGGCTCTGGAGTGAGTTTTGAGTCGGAAGCCCACAGTGATCCTTCAAATTCTATGCGGTCTTAGACAAGTTATAATACTTCTCTGAGCCTCAGTTTCCTCATCTGTAAAATAGGGATAATAATACTTCATAGCATTGTTATAAGGGTTAAGAAGGTAACAGCCCAGCACTTATTAGGGAATTAATAAATACTCATTCCCACCCCTTTCCCTTCTCCCTAGAAGTGAGACATGGGAGTCAGGCATGGTATTTGACCATTTATATATACAAAGCAACAGCAAATCATAGTGGTTATGACCACAGAAACCAGACTGCCTAGGTTCAAATATTGGCTCTGCCATATTGGTATGTATGTATGCATTTATGTATGTATATATGTAGGTATATATGCATGTTTATATGTACATGCATACATATGTGTATACAATGGTACTTCAAAAAGTCCATGGAAAAATAGAATTGAAATATAACACGAATTTTTCCATGAACTTTTTGAAGTTCCCTCATAGATATGTATATATGACTTGTGCTAAAGTGGACCTGTCTATTGGACAGAAGGGGAAACCAAGTCCCAGAGGTTGGCAAAGTCTTGGCCAAGGCAGACATTGAGTCCAGAGCCCATTGAGACTGCAGGTTCCCAATCTGGGCTCTGCCCACAGTAAACCCTGACTCCCATCCAAACTGGAACCTGGTTATAACTTTTTTCAATAAACTTCCTCATGTATCAAATCCAGGTCAGTGCAGTACTGCTCTTTCCCAGGCAGCTGGGCAACAAGCTTCCAAACCCCTTACTTGCACCACTCCGGGACATGATGCTGAATTCAGCAAATGCCCAGGGTAGGGTTGGCGTGCAGCCCCCACCTCCTTCCTTACCACAGCAAAGGCCAGCTGCATGGGCCTCGAGTTGTAGATGATGTATCTTCTCACTTGGGGCTCCAAAAGGGCACTCTCAGCCAAGCTCCTGTACTGTTCGGATGGAACCTGCCCAGCCACCCAAAGGAAAGAGATCAGTCAGCCACAGGAGAACGACTCCCTATCTCCTTCCCACCAAGTTCATGTGACTCTCATAAGAAAGGGAGATTAGGAACATTCCAGGCCACCCCAGAGGGCAGAATGAGGAGCTCAGAGCACTGGGTGGAAATTACAGGGCGCAGCTCTTAGCTCAGGGAAGAACAGGCGTCATGGGGAGGCAGGTCAGCTCAAGATACAGGAGGACATAGTGGAGAGAGATCCCTGAGATCCCTGCAGCCTGGCAGCAGGCACAGGGTGGCCTCATGGTTAATACATAGGCCTTGGGGCCAAACAGCCCTGGATCCAAACTCTGGCCCTGCCCCTCATGTGCTGTGTGACCTGGGGCAAGTAACCCCACTCCTCTGAGCCTCAGTTTTTTCCTCTATAAAACGAGAATAATAAGAATGCCCACCTTGTTGGCCTGGGGGGCATATTAAACAGGATAACACATATACAGAGCTTGGCATAGAACCCGTCCCATAGTAAACACTTGATACACAGGTGCTATTATGAATACTGCAACATCAACAGCTGTTGATACAGTCCAAAGTACCAAACATTCACAAGTTCCTGCCCAAACAAAAATGTCTACAGAGCATCAAAGCCCTATGAAAACAGACTTAAGAAAATAGAATTTTGGGCCGGCCCGGTGGCGCACTGCGCTAGTGCGCCGCTTGGGAAGNACACCGTTCAGTCTGCACAGCATTATCTGTCTGACAGGGAGGTGGCCCTGCTCCCTGGCTTCAGAGAGGAAGGGAAGAAGGAGCGCTTGAGGAAGAGTCTAGGAGAGGAAAGTGAATGAACCAGTAAGTGCTTATTGAGCATCTGCCATAGGCAAAGCCTGTGCTAAATAGAACGTGGGGGGCAGACAGGAGGAGTGGGCTGCGGAACACACGTGGAGAGATGAGAGATAGAAACGGGAAGCGAGTCACACATGCCGTGATGCACTTAGATGTTCCACTGCCTGACTTAAGCAGGCCTGGTGACCAGTGCCTGTGGTGACAGGGAGGGCAGGGATGGCTGCAGCAGCTGCTTTCGTGCCCCCCAGAGTCTCTCGACATTCACCTCTGCCTGCCAAAGGCCACTTACCAGAGCCACCAGGGCCCTACCTGATGGCTTTGTTGTGTCCTTGGGAGCATGCTCAGTCAGAAGTGCAGATGCCTAGGGAAGCAGTCCTCAGTGACAGTACCCCAGCCTCCTGTCCTGGTTGGGATGCCTCTGAGGCAAGTTCTACATCGTCCCCCAGAGCTTCCCAGCAGGATGGAGCTCCCGTTTCCCCCAGTGATTCAGTGGCATGATAATACTTCCTTCCCTGACCTGCCTTACTACCCTCCCCTAATGATACTTCTTGGATCACCTCCCAAATAAATGACTTGCACTAAGATCCTTGTTTTCGAAGCTGCTTCTGGGGCCACAACTTAAACGAAGGCCATGGCCTTTCTTAGTACTACACTTGGACCTTGACAGAAGAAACTTAAGTGGACTAACGTACAGTCTACGTATTTGCTCACGTACATTGGAAATTATCTTAATTAAGACCCCTTTGGGCT